TGGTGAGTGAGTGGTGATTGAGTGAGTGAGTGGTGAGTGAGTGGTGAGTGAGTGCTGAGTAAGTGAGTGAGTAGTGAGTGAGTGAGTGGTGAGTGAGTGAGTGGTGAGTGAGTGGTGAGTGAGTGGTGAGTGAGTGGTGAGTGGTGAGTGAGTGGTGAGTGAGTGGTGAGTGAGTGAGTGGTGAGTGAGTGGTGAGTGAGTGAGTGGTGAGTGAGTGAGTGAGTGGTGAGTGAGTGGTGAGTGAGTGGTGAGTGAGTGAGTGGTGAGTGAGTGGTGAGTGAGTGGTGAGTGAGTGGTGAGTAAGTGAGTGAGTAGTGAGTGAGTGAGTGAGTGGTGAGTGAGTGAGTGGTGAGTGAGTGGTGAGTGGTGAGTGAGTGGTGAGTGAGTGGTGAGTGAGTGAGTGGTGAGTGAGTGGTGAGTGAGTGGTGAGTGAGTGAGTGAGTGGTGAGTGAGTGGTGAGTGAGTGGTGAGTAAGTGAGTGAGTAGTGAGTGAGTGAGTGGTGAGTGAGTGAGTGGTGAGTGAGTGGTGAGTGGTGAGTGAGTGGTGAGTGAGTGGTGAGTGGTGAGTGAGTGGTGAGTGAGTGGTGAGTGAGTGGTGAGTGGTGAGTGAGTGGTGAGTGAGTGGTGAGTGGTGAGTGAGTGGTGAGTGAGTGGTGAGTGGTGAGTGAGTGAGTGGTGAGTGAGTGGTGAGTGAGTGGTGAGTGAGTGGTGAGTGAGTGAGTGGTGAGTGAGTGGTGAGTGAGTGGTGAGTGAGTGGTGAGTATCGCTCACCGATTCTTCCATGTTAATCTGAATCTGCCGGTGCAGTTCAGCCATTTGGAACAAAGAATCTCCTAGAGACACAGAGACACGGAGAGAGACACAGAGACAGGGTGAGAGAGACACAGAGACACGGAGAGAGACACAGAGACAGGGTGAGAGACAAAGAGACAGGGTGAGACACAGAGACACAGAGACAGGGTGAGAGCGACACAGACACAGAGAGACACAGAGACAGGGTGAGAGAGACACAGAGACAGGGTGAGACACAGAGACACAGAGACAGGGTGAGAGACACAGAGACACGGAGACAGGGTGAGAGAGACACAGAGACACGGAGAGAGACACAGACAGGGTGAGACACAGAGACACAGAGACAGGGTGAGAGAGACACAGAAAGACACAGAGACAGAGAGATACAGACAGACACAGAGACACAGAGACACAGAGAGACACAGAGAGATACAGAGAGACACAGACACAAGGTGAGAGAGACACAGACACAGAGAGACACAGCGAGACACACAGACACAGAGACAGACACGGAGAGAGACACAGAGACACAGAGAGACACAGAAACACAGACACAGAGATACAGAGAGAGACAGAGAGACACAGACACAAGGTGAGAGAGACACGGAGAGAGACACAGAGACACAGAGAGACACACATAGACACAGAGAGACACAGACACAAGGTGAGAGAGACACGGAGAGAGACACAGAGAGACACAGACACAGACACGGAGAGAGACACAGAGACACATACACAGAGGCAGGCTAGCCTAAATGTTTCTAACCGGCGAAGATGTTCCATTAGGGGGGTCCACGTTTCACAAGCGTAGAGAAGGGAGGGAATGACCATGGCCGAGAAGACCTGAAGCTTAGTGCGGAGCGACAGACCAGGTAGCTTCCACACAGCGTTACGCAACCGATGAAAAGATATTGCCACTCGACTGATTCGGAGTGTGACCTCTGCTGTTAAACTGGAGCCAGTCATAAGCACACTGCCCAGGTATGGGAAACTCTCCACTCTCTCCACAATTGCCCCATCACCGATTGGGAGTTGTGTGGGTGGAGTGTCCGATGGTACAAAATACCCAGGCAGGTGCTTAGATTTGGTGGGGCTGATGGTAAGGCCCCACCTCTTAGTGGCACGCTCCAGTCTCAGCAACAGCGTCTCCAACTCCTCCTCTGAATGAGCAGCTATTACCAAATCATCGGCATACATAACGTGATTGAGCAATAGGGATCCATACCTTGACCGCACCCGGGCATCGATCAGTCTCCCATTATATCTGTACCAAATGGAGATTCCCCCGGTACAGCTATTGAAGGCTTCACGAACTACGTGGTCAAAATAGATGTTAAATAATGTGGGAGCCAGAGGACATCCCTGTCGCACCCCAAGGTGTACAGGGAATGGCTCCGACTCCCGGCCACGTAGTTTTACCCGGGCCCACTCACCATCATGAAGATCCTTAATGATCGTGAGCAGAGGGTCAGGGACTCCGAAAGCATGAAGAACGACCCAGAGCCCAGGCCTACTGATGATATCATAGGCCTTGTCCAGGTCAATAAAGCAGAGATGTAGGTCTTGTTGGAATTCCCTACACCTCTGCTGTAGCAAACGGACAGAAAATATAGCATCTGTGCAGGACCGCCCTTTCCTGAAACCGCATTGGGGCTCCGCAAGCCTCTCCTCAGCATGCCTGGCAAGGCGATGTTGAATAATCCTTTCCAGGACCTTTCCCGGCACACTGAGGAGTGAGATGCCCCTGTAGTTGTTACAGTCTGTGCGGTCCCCCTTCTTAAAGAGGGGGACCACCAGGGCATCCTTCCAATCCTGCGGGACCCGTCCAGTGGTCCAAACTGTTGTTATGATGTCATGTAGGGCAGTCTGTGCACAAACGCCACCCTCCCTTAGCATTTCACTTGGGATATCATCTCTGCCCGGTGCCTTTCCTGGTCTCAGGCTCTGGATCGCCTTCAGTACTTCCTCAACAGATGGCACCTCAGCCAGCCACTCACAGGGGGTGACTTCTTCCAATATTTGAGGCACCGCAGCCTCAGCAGGGTCATCCTCACTTTGTGCCACGATGTTTTCCTGGCTGAGGGATTTTCCCTCCCCCAGGACCTCACAGAAATGCTCAGCAAATCTGCAAACCTGTTCCTGGGGGTCGGAGATTGGATCACCGTTCTTTCATCTAATTATGGTAATAGGTGTGGCACTGCAGGTTACTTTTTTGATGGAATTTAAGAGTAATTTGTGATCGTGGGCCATTGAGGCAGACTCCATCTCCTCAGCAACCCGCGACCACCACCCATCCTTACAGCACCCCACGGCTCTCCGAACCTCCGAGCAAAGGCTGCGGTAAGCCTCCTCATTCTCTGACGTGGGATGCTGTAGCCGATGACAGTGGGCCTGTCGCTTTTTCTCAACCATCCTGAACACCTCCTCTGTCAGCCAGGGTCTCTGGGGAGGTCTGGACAGTGTATCCAACGCAGCCATTGCAGCTGCATGAGTCACAGTCCTAATCCTCGCCCATTTTCCCTCGACATCAGGAGGAGTGGGGGACGATGCCAACCCCAGCCGCAGGCGATGATTACATTTTTGCTTGCACCTTTCATCAGCTAGCTGAGACCATGCCACTATGGGTTTGAATAAGGTCCTGGGTGTACACGCACCACCGGAGTGGAAGAATGGCAGGCGCATCTTACAGATGACTAGTCGATGGTCAGAGGGCAGATCAGCTCCATGGTAGGTCCTGGTGTCAAGGACATGGGCTCGCATCCGCTGGTCCGTCACTATGTAGTCCAACAGATGTTCTTGCTTGGACCCGGCATGCATCCATGATGTTGTGTGGATGCGCCGATGCCGGAACAGCGTGTTGGTAATTACAAGCCCATGGGATGCACAAAAATCTAGCAGCCTCCTACCGTTGATATTGAGCTGATCTGGCCCATGCCCTCCAATCACTCCAGACCAGGTGCCAGCATCATAACCAACTCGGGCATTGAAGTCACCCAACATGATGACTCTATCCCGAGGGGCCACTTTAGCCAGCACCTGTAACAGGAGGTCATAGAAGGCATCTGACTCATCGGCTTTGCCTGCATCCCTCCACGGATGTTCGTCTTCGGTGGGGGCATAAGTAACCACGACCACCACTCCTCGCCTCCGGTTGATGGGAAGGCGAGCCCAAAGTAGCCTGGGGATTACAGCTTCCCACACCTCACCGCCACGCTCCCACGCCCCCTTCATTCTTTTGTTCAAAAGAAGAGCCACACGCTGTTGTTTGGCAGTCTGCCGCCCCGAGTAGAGGACCGTCCACCCCTCATGGTGGCAGGAGCCAGAACTGGTCCACCGGACCTCCTGAATGCCACAGAGATCCAGGCGGTACCAGTCCAGCTCCCGACAGAGCAGTGGGCAGCCTCTCCTCCGCAGTGAGCGTTCGAACATTCCACGTGGCCACCCGTAGTGGCTTTTCGTTGTTTCTGGAGGAGCCCCGAGGGTAGAGATTCAATCTCCTGGCTCCGCCAATTTGGGGTTTGGCCAGGAGACGTCATAGACGCCTGTCCCCCCGGGGCCTCCGGCACAAGCTTATTAGTTACATATTTCAGTTTAACTCGTGGTTTCGTGGTAATTAATTGAAGGTGGAGGGGTTACCAGCCCCTCGCACCCGTCCAGAGCCCCCGTTTAGCCCCTGTGGTGGTCACAGACGCCATGAGGGGAGGAGCCAATCAAAATTGGATCTCCCCCCACAGCACTGTCCACGACAGCGTCGCAGTCCGGCACCAGGAGGAGGTTGGGGGTTGTTTGTGCCGGGCCACGGAGAGACAGGCAACAGAGAGAGCTACGTCCGTGAGGATTCACGACTGTCCTTCTGCATCCGTGTCTCCACGTGTCTCCACGTGTCTCCCCCCCCCCCCCCGCCCCGTGTCTCCCCGTGTCTCCTCGTGTCTCCCCGTGTCTCCCACCCCGTGTCTCCCCGTGTCTCCCCTACCCCCCGTGTCTCCCCCTGTCTCCCCGTGTCTCCCCGTGTCTCCCCTCCCCCCCGTGTCTCCCCTCCCCCCCGTGTCTCCCCGTGTCTCCCCGTGTCTCCCCGTGTCTCCCCGTGTCTCCCCGTGTCTCCCCGTGTCTCCCCGTGTCTCCCCGATGTGTTGTCTCTCACCCATCTCCTGTGAGGCTTTGCTGCTTGACGCCATCTCCCCCAGTTTCACCAGAGAGTTAAAATATCCCTTCGCTGCTACGGTGACATCTACACAGACACAGTGTGACACACACACAGTGTGACACACACACACAGTGGTGACACACACACACACAGTGACACACATACACAGTGACACACACAGTGACACACACACACACACAGTGACACACACACAGTGTGACACACATAGTGACACACAGTGACACACACACAGTGACACACAGTGACACACAGTGACACACACAGTGACACACACAGTGACACACAGTGACACACACACAGTGACACACACACAGTGACACACACAGTGACACACACACAGTGACACACAGTGACACACAGTGACACACACAGTGACACACACAGTGACACACAGTGACACACACACAGTGACACACACACAGTGACACACACACACACAGTGGTGACACACACAGTGACACACAGTGACACAGTGTGACACACACACACAGTGTGACACACACACACAGTGACACACACACACACAGTGACACACACACACAGTGACACACACACAGTGACACACACAGTGACACACACACACAGTGACACACACAGTGACACACACAGTGTGACACACACAGTGACACACACACAGTGACACACACAGTGACACACACACACAGTGACACACACACAGTGTGACACACACAGTGTGACACACACACACTGTGACACACACAGTGTGACACACACACAGTGACACACACACAGTGACACACACACAGTGTGACACACACACTGACACGCAGTGACACACACACAGTGACACACACACACACAGTGACACACACACACACACACACAGTGACACACACACAGTGACACACACAGTGACACACACACAGTGACACACACAGTGACACACAGTGACACACAGTGACACACACACAGTGACACACACACAGTGACACACACACAGTGACACACACAGTGACACACACAGTGACACACACACAGTGACACACACACAGTGACACACACAGTGACACACACACAGTGACACACAGTGACACACACACAGTGACACACACACACAGTGACACACACAGTGACACACACACAGTGACACACACACACAGTGACACACACACACAGTGACACACACACACAGTGACACACACAGTCACACACACACAGACACACACACAGACACACACACACAGTGACACACACAGTGACACACACACACAGTGACACACAGTGACACACACACAGTGACACACACACAGTGACACACACACAGTGTGACACACACACACAGTGTGACACACACACAGTGACACACACACAGTGACACACACACAGTGACACACACAGTGACACACACACACAGTGTGACACACACACAGTGACACACACACAGTGACACACACAGTGACACACACACAGTGACACACACACACAGTGACACACACACAGTGACACACACACAGTGACACACACACAGTGACACACACACAGTGACACACACACACAGTGACACACACACAGTGACACACACACACAGTGTGACACACACAGTGACACACACACAGTGACACACACACAGTGACACACACACAGTGACACACACAGTGTGACACACACACAGACACACACAGTGACACACACAGTGACACACACACACAGTGACACACACACAGTGTGACACACAGTGACACAGTGACACACACACAGTGACACACACACAGTGACACACACACACAGTGACACACACAGTGACACACACACAGTGACACACACAGTGACACACACACAGTGACACACACAGTGACACACACACACAGTGTGACACACAGTGACACACACAGTGACACACACAGTGACACACACACAGTGACAGTGACACACACACACACAGTGACACACACACAGTGACACACACACACAGTGACACACAGTGACACACACACACAGTGACACACACACACACAGTGACACACACACACAGTGACACACACACAGACACACACACACAGTGACACACACACAGACACACACACACAGACACACAGTGACACACACACAGTGACACACAGACACACACACACACAGTGACACACACACACAGTGACACACACACAGTGAAACACACACAACACACAGTGACACACACAGTGACACACACACACAGTGACACACACACACAGTGACACACACAGACACACACACAGTGACACACACACAGACACACACACACAGACACACAGTGACACACACACAGTGACACACAGACACACACACACACAGTGACACACACACACAGTGACACACACACAGTGAAACACACACAGTGACACACACACAGTGACACACAGACACACACACACAGTGACACACAGTGACACACACACAGTGACACACACACAGTGACACACAGACACACAGTGACACACAGTGACACACACACAGTGACACACAGACACACAGTGACACACAGTGACACACACACAGTGACACACACAGAGTGACACACAGACACACAGTGACACACACACAGTGACACACAGACACACACAGTGACACACAGACACACACACACACAGTGACACACAGTGACACACACACACAGTGACACACACACACAGTGACACACACAGACACACACACACAGACACACACAGACACACACACAGACACATAGACACACACAGTGACACACACAGAGACACACACACACAGACAATCAGACATGCCTGTCCCCGTGTCTCTGTCCCAGTGTCTCTGTCCTAGTGTCTCTGTCCCAATGTCTCTGTCCAAGTGTCTCTGTGTCTGTCTCTGTGTCTCTGTCTCTGTGTCTCTGTCTCTGTGTCTCTGTCCCAGTGTCTCTGTCCCAATGTCTCTGTCCAAGTGTCTCTGTGTCTGTCTCTGTGTCTCTGTCCCAGTGTGTTTGTGTCTCTGTCGCAATGTCTCTGTCCCAGTGTCTCAGTGTCTCTGTGTCTCTGTCCAAGTGTCTCTGTGTCTGTCTCTGTGTCTCTGTCCCAGTGTGTTTGTGTCTCTGTCTCAGTGTCTCTGTGTCTCTGTCCCAGTGTCTCAGTGTCTCTGTGTCTCTGTCCCAGTGTCTCTGTGTCTCTGTGTCTCTGTCCCAATGTCTCTGTGTCTCTGTCCCAGTGTCTCTGTCTCTGTCTCTGTCCCAGTGTCTCTGTCCAAGTGTCTCTGTGTCTGTCTCTGTGTCTCTGTCCCAGTGTGTTTGTGTCTCTGTCGCAATGTCTCAGTGTCTCTGTCCCAGTGTCTCAGTGTCTCTGTGTCTCTGTCCCAGTGTCTCTGTGTCTCTGTCCCAATGTCTCTGTGTCTCTGTCCCAGTGTCACTGTCTCTGTCTCTGTGTCTCTGTCCCAGTGTCTCTGTCCAAGTGTCTCTGTGTCTGTCTCAGTGTCTCTGTCCCAGTGTCTCAGTGTCTCTGTCCCAGTGTCTCAGTGTCTCTGTGTCTCTGTCCCAGTGTCTTTGTGTCTCTGTCCCAGTGTCTCTGTGTCTTTTTGTCTCTCTGTCTCTGTCCCGGTGTCTATGTCCCCGTGTCTCTGTGTGTCTGTGTCTCTGTCTCTCTGTGTCTCTGTCCCCGTGTCTCTGTCTCTCTGTGTCTCTGTCCCCGTGTCTCTGTCTCTCTGTGTCTCTGTATCTCTGTGTCTCTGTCTCTGTCTCTGTGTCTCTGTGTCTCTGTCTCTGTGTCTCTGTGTCTCCGTGTCTCCGTGTCTCTCTCCCAGTGTCTCTGTCCCAGTGTCTCTGTCCCCGTGTCTCCGTGTCTCCGTGTCTCACTGGAGAGAGACTTCTCGTAGGTTCGTCCGGCTGAAAGGAACGATCGCAGTCCGGGGTTGAACTGATCAGCGATGTTCTACAGAGACACACACACAGACACACACAGTTACACACACACACAGTTACACACACACACACAGACACACACAGTTACACACACACACAGTTACACACAGTTACACACACACACACACAGTGACACACACACACACACAGTGACACACACAGTTACACACAGTTACACACAGTTACACAGTGACACACACAGTTACACACACAGTTACACAGACACACACACAGACATACACACACAGTTACACACACAGTTACACAGACACACACACAGACATACACACACAGTGACACACACACAGTGACACACACACAGTTACACACACACACTGACACACTGTGACACACACACACACAGACACACACACAGACACACACAGTTACACACACACAGTTACACACACACACTGACACACTGTGACACACACACACACAGTGACACACACACAGACACACACAGTTACACACACACAGTTACACACACACACTGACACACTGTGACACACACACACACAGTGACACACACACAGACACACACAGTTACACACACACAGTTACACACACACACTGACACACTGTGACACACACACAGACACACACACAAAGACACACACAGTTACACACACACAGTTACACACACACACTGACACACTGTGACACACACACACACACACAGACACACACACAAAGACACACACAGTTACACACACACAGTTACACACACACACTGACACACTGTGACACACACACACACAGACACACACACAAAGACACACACAGTTACACACACACAGTTACACACACACACTGACACACTGTGACACACACACAGACACACACACAAAGACACACACAGTTACACACACACAGTTACACACACACACTGACACACTGTGACACACACACACACACAGACACACACACAAAGACACACACAGTTACACACACACACACAGTTACACAGACACACACACAGACATACACACACACAGACACACACACAGTGACACACACACACACACAGTGACACACACACACAGTGACACACACACAGTGACACACACACACACAGACACACACACACAGTCACACACACAGTTACAGTGACACACACACACATACACAGTGACACACACACACATACACACACAGTGACACACAGTGACACACACAGACACACACACAGACACACACACACAGTCACACACACAGTGACACACACACACACACAGACACACACAGACATACACACAGACACACACACACAGTGACACACACAGTGACACACACACAGTGACACACACACAGTTACACACACACACAGACACACACACAGTTACACACACACAGACACACACACAGTTACACACACACACACACAGTTACACACACACACATACACAGTGACACACACACATACACAGACACAGTGACACACACACATACACTGTGACACACACACATACACAGTGACACACACACATACACACACAGACACACATACACACACACAGTGACACACACACAGCCACACACACAGACAGACACACACACAGTGACACACACACAGACACAGTGACACACACACATACACAGACACAGTGACACACATACACACACACACACAGACACACATACACACAGTGAAACACACACAGTGAAACACACACAGTGACACACACACACAGACAGACACACACACAGTGACACACACACATACACACATACACAGTGACACACACACAGACACACACACACAGACACACACACATACACACAGACATACACACACACAGACACACACACAGTGACACACACATACACACACACACAAACATACACACACACAGACACACACACAGACATACACACACAGAATAAGAATCACCACTCAACCACTAAACCGCCCCACCCACCGACTCACACACCCACCCACACCCCCACCCACCCACACCCCCACCCACACACCCACCCACCCACCCACACACCCACCCATACACCCACACAACCACCCACACAACCACCAACACACCCACACACCCATACACACACCCACACACCCACCCACACACACACACACCCACACACCCACCCACACACCCACACTCACACACACACCCACACACCTACCCAACCACACACCCACCCACACACCCACACACACACCCACATACACACACACCCACCCACACACACCCACACACACACACACACTCCCACACACACCCCCACACACACACCCACCCACCCACACACACACCCAACCACACACCCACCCACACACCCACCCACACAACCACACACACACCCACACACCCACAACCACACACACACCCACCCACACACCCACCACCCACACACCCACCCACTAACTCCCCGCCCACCCACCCACTACCCGCCACACACCCACTAACCCGCCCACTAACTTTCCCACCCACCCACTAACTCACCCACCCACTAACCCGTTCTGTGAGTCATTGGAGTGTACATAGCTAAGTCCTGACCGCCCTCTCACTCGAATTAGCTCTTTGTGTGAGTCTGTGGGTCTCTGTGTGGTGAGTCTGTAGGTGTCTGTGTGAGTCTGTGTGTCTCTGTGTGAGTCTGTAGGTCTCTGTGTGAGTCTGTGGGTCTCTGTGTCTCTGTGTGAGTCTGTGAGTCTCTGTGTGAGTCTGTGTATCTCTGTGTGGTGAGTCTGTGTCTCTGTGAGTCTGTGTGTCTCTGTGTGAGTCTGTAGGTCTCTGTGTGAGACTGTGTGTCTCTGTGTGAGTCTGTGTGTCTGTGAGTCTGTGTGTCTCTGTGTGAGTCTGTAGGTCTCTGTGTGAGACTGTGTGTCTCTGTGTGAGTCTGTGTGTCTGTGAGTCTGTGTGTCTCTGTGTGAGTCTGTAGGTCTGTGTGAGTCTGTAGGTCTTTGTGTGAGACTGTGGGTCTCTGTGTGAGTCTGTAGGTCTCTGTGTGAGTCTGTAGGTCTTTGTGTGAGTCTGTGTGTCTCTGTGTGAGTTTGTGTGTCTCTGTGTGGTGAGTCTGTGTCTCTGTGTGAGTCTTTGTGTCTCTGTGTGAGTCTGTAGGTCTTTGTGTGAGTCTGTGTCTCTGTGTGTCTCTGTGTGAGTCTGTAGGTCTCTGTGTGAGACTGTGGGTCTCTGTGTGAGTCTGTGTGTCTCTGTGTGAGTATGTAGGTCTCTGTGTGAGTCTATGGGTCTCTGTGTGAGTATGTAGGTCTCTGTGTGTCTCTGTGTGAGTCTGTGTGTCTCTGTGTGAGTCTGTGTGTCTCTGTGTGAGTCTGTGTGTCTCTGTGTGGTGTGTCTCTGTGTGAGTCTGTAGGTCTCTGTGTGAGTCTGTGTCTCTGTGTGAGTCTGTAGGTTTCTGTGTGTGTGTCTCTGTGTGAGTCTGTGTGTCTCTGTCTGTCTCTGTGTGTCTCTGTGTGAATCTGTGTCTCTGTGTGAGTCTGTAGGTCTCTGTGTGAGTCTGTGTGTCTCTGTCTGTCTCTGTGTGTCTCTGTGTGAGTCTGTGTCTCTGTGTGAGTCTGTGTGTCTCTGTGTGAGTCTGTGTGTCTCTGTGTGTGTCTGTAGGTCTCTGTGTGAGTTTGTGTGTCTCTGTGTGGTGAGTCTGTATCTCTGTGAGTCTGTGGGTCTCTGTGTGTCTCTGTGTGAGTCTGTATGTCTCTGTGTGAGTCTGTAGGTCTCTGTGTGAGTCTGTGTGTCTCTGTGTGTCTCTGTGAGTCTGTAGGTCTCTGTGTGAGTCTGTGTGTCTCTGTGTGTCTCTGTGTGAGTCTGTGTGAGTCTGTAGGTCTCTGTGTGAGTCTATGGGTCTCTGTGTGAGTATGTGTGTCTCTGTGTGAGTCTGTGTGTCTCTGTGTGAGTCTGTGTGTCTCTGTGTGGTGAGTCTCTGTGTGGTGAGTCTCTGTGTGAGTCTGTAAGTCTCTGTGTGAGTCTGTAGGTCTCTGTGTGTCTCTGTGTAAGTCTGTAGGTCTCTGTGTGAGTCTGTAGGTCTCTGTGTGAGTCTTTAGGTCTCTGTGTGAGTCTGTGTGTCTCTGTGTCTGTGTGTCTCTGTGTGAGTCTGTAGGCCTCTGTGTGTCTCTGTGTGAGTCTGTAGGTCTCTGTGTGAGTCTGTGTATCTGTGTGAGTCTGTGTGTCTCTGTGTGAGTCTGTGTGTCTCTGTGTGAGTCTGTGTGTCTCTGTGTGAGTCTGTAGGTCTCTGTGTGAGTCTGTGTGTCTGTGTGTCTCTGTGTGAGTCTGTTGGTCTCTGTGTGAGTCTCTGTGTGAGTCTGTAGGTCTCTGTGTGAGTCTGTTGGTCTCTGTGTGAGTCTGTGTGTCTGTGTGAGTCTGTGTGTCTCTGTGTGAGTCTGTATGTCTCTCTGTGTGAGTCTGTGTGTCTCTGTCTGTCTCTGTGTGTCTCTGTGCGAGTCTGTAGGTCTCTGTGTGAGTCTGTAGGTCTCTGTGTGAGTCTGTGTGTCTCTGTGTGAGTCTGTAGGTCTCTGTGGGTCTCTGTGTATGTCTATGGGTCTCTGTGTGAGTCTATGGGTCTCTGTGTGAGTCTGTGGGTTTCTGTGTGAGTCTGTGGGTCTCTGTGTCTCTGTGAGTCTGTATGTCTCTCTGTGTGAGTCTGTGTGTCTCTGTCTGTCTCTGTGTGAGTCTGTGTGAGTCTGTGTGTCACTGTGTGAGTCTGTAGGTCTCGGTGTGAGTCTGTGTGTCTCTCTGTGAGTCTGTAGGTCTCTGTGTGAGTCTGTGTGTCTCTGTGTGAGTCTGTGTGTCTCTGTGTGAGTCTGTAGGTCTCTGTGTGAGTCTGTGTGTCTCTGTGTGAGTCTGTATGTCTCTCTGTGTGAGTCTGTGTGTCTCTGTGTGAGTCTGTATGTCTCTCTGTGTGAGTCTGTGTGTCTCTGTGTGAGTCTGTATGTCTCTCTGTGTGGGTCTGTGGGTCTCTGTGTGGGTCTGTGTGTCACTGTGTGAGTTTGTGTGTCTCTGTGCGAGTCTGTGGATGTAACACTCGCTCACAGCACTTGCCCCAGTA